GCAATGGCAACAAATTTTTTTTTATTTCCCTTAAAAAGAGGGGGAAAGGGCCAGCGCACTCCTTGGTGAACATAACTTTATAATCCAGTCTGTGTTATAATCTTATTGATTTCACTTGTGCGAGTGAAGTGTGGTAAAATCTAGCATGATAAAAATATCGAAAAGATCACTAAGAAGATTAAAATTTCGACGTTTTGTAAAAGAAATATTTAAGGTCTATTCTATAAACGAAGCAGACTTGTTGTTTAAAAAGTTAGTTCGTATTTTTTGTATTTTGTACATCATATAATATGAGTTAATTTTTTTGTTAAGTATAATAAATAATTTGTTGTAATGTCTTGCAATTATTTAAAAAAAAACTACCCAACACTCAACAGTAGGTTGAAAATGTAACCATTGTTACAATGAAAATAGTTTATTAAAATTATTAAAATTTTATTAATATTATAAAAAAAATTTTATTTTAAACGAAATTTCTATGAATAATAACATTAGGGTTTCATTAATACTACAAAACGTTTTTGTGAACGGTATAGAACTGTTTTTTTGGACAAATAATAATAACTATATTTATCATGCTGCATCTGGAAGAGTGTTATTTTTATAAACATAACGTAAATTTACTCTATAATTAATGCAAATGCTATTACTAAAAGCAGCGTTTGTAGATAAATAATTTTTATAAAAATGATCTTTTTGCCGTAACAAAAGCAATTGTTGGACGAATAGGGATCTTTAATTTATTAAGACAAACTACTTTTTTTGTTATATTTATTGAAACATTTGTGTACTGTTAAGTAATTAACAATTTTCTGGTACCCTGGGTGGTGCGACACCCTGTATATTTTTTTGACTTTTTGCATAATACAATATTTATTTTGTATAAGCCTGTTTTTCTTGTTTTGAAGCAGGTAAAACAAACAAGCTCAATCATCCTTATTACTTTTTCAATTAAAACACTATTTGCTTAAAAAAATTGCAATATTTAATATTGGTCCAATATTTAAAAAAAACATGACCTTGCGAAAAAATATAGAATTAATTTGAGGTTGTATCGTACATGCTACAATTATTAGGCAATTACTAAAATTACATTCAAATTAGAAAATATGCACTTTCCTATTTAAAAATTATATAACAAAAAAAATTAAATTGTGTAGTTTAAACCAAAATGCAATTTCTCATAGCAAAACACATCATTTCGTGTTAGTTTTAACAGGTTTTGCGAAAATATTTCGTTCTTCAGATAGATTACGTTTTCGGCACAAAATCACTTGATTTGGGTAAAATTAAAAAGCATTTAGCAAAAGGAAGTGAATTAAATACAATAAAAATATTAAACATCTGAAATGATACATACTTACTTAAATATGATTTTAACCATTCACAATCAAATTTTAAAGGTAGGTAAATAATCAAAAACAAAAAACAATGTTGAAAAACTTAACCTCAAAACCAAAACACATATATCAACAATACCATTCGCACTACGATTCGTTCATAAAGAGTTAATATTATATTATTAACAGTTTTTGCCAATAATACAATTTTAAAAGGCATTTTATAGGAAAATAAAAAATACATCCTGTAGGTAAAAGCAAATGTTTTTGCTAGAAAGCAAACACAGGCAGGGTATGAAACTATGTTTTTATATTTTAGGTTCAAAATGTTTTTATTATTTGTAATATTTATTTGACAAATAATTAAAAATATCGAAAAATATGCTCTGAAACAATATTTTTAGTTTTAAAATAAAATACCTACACAGGGTAAAAAAATCCGGACTAGAACTGGAACAATTAAATTTTAAAATTTGCTTTAAAAAAGTAACAGTTTTTAAAATTTGTGTACCTATATTTTTCAATATAAATTATTTAAAAAACAAAGTGTATAAGGAATGCCGAATTTTTTTCATTGGGTTTAATTTAACCATTTAGAAAAGCAGGGATTCTTGTCCCATTTCCAGCAAGTCCAATCAAGTATTTTATTTAAAAATTATTGGAGAATCGTAGAATACAGAATCGTAGAATACAGAAGAAAAATTTTTTCATTACAGAGCCATCTAGATAGCTATTACAAATATGAAAAAATGTTTTAGACAAAATCTACCTATTTTTAGTCGAATGATCCGAATCTACAATAAAATAAAAAAATAGGATGTTCAATTCCCAGAAAAATGTTTAAGAAATTCTACCTTGTATCTAATTTAGGTTTATTGCCTCATTATCCTTAATGACAAAATTAAGTAAACTAGGAAATGCGCAACTAATATATACCTATGTCGATACTTATAAAATTTCTAATTTACATATACCTTAGTTATATAACCAGATGTAGAATTGGTGTAATTTAGGAAAATGCATATGTAGTAAGTGTAGTGATTATAAACTTGGCAACGCTGGGTACATTAAACAATAAAATAATCTAATCTCCATATCAAAAAAATTAAAACCAACATAACAAAATTGTTTTTTTTACCCTACCTATAAGTAAACATTAAAAAACATAATATTTTGAAAATTCACAAAATACTAAATACAGGGTGTCCGGAAAAAGGAGGTCAATCCTTTAACCATATATTCCTTGAGTTAAAACAATAAGACTTTCATAATACCATTTTTCAATTTAGAGCTTCATGTTCGATATACAGGGCGACAAAGTTTGAAATTTAAAACAGATTTTTTTTAATAATTCGAGTAATTAATAAGGTATTAAGTTCAAATTTGGTACACTATTTCAACATAAATAGTTACATCTTTTGAGATCAACAAAACAAAAAACAAATGTCAAATAATCAAAATAGGGGGGGTCCAGTACTCACTGACCCCCCCTATTTTTTAGTACGGGCGCCAGTGACTTCCAAATGGTATTTTTTCAGGTAATCATTTAGTGTTAAACATTTTTTGTCTCCTACAAAAATTTGATGAAATGATTTGTTTTAGAGATAATTTGTAAAGTATTGGTCCTTAATTGATGCCCAGGCGGCTTATGGCAATCTCATAATTTTCAAATGTACTACTGGACCACCCTATTTTGATTATTTGACAATTATTACATCTTTTTAGGACAACAAAACAAAAAACAATTGTCAAATAATCAAAATAGGGTGGTCCAGTACTACATTTGAAAATTATGAGATTGCCATAAGCCGCGTGGGCATCAATCAAGGACCAATACTTTACAAATTATCTCTAAAACAAATCATTTCATCAAAATTTTATAAGAGACAAAAAATGTTCAACACTAAATGATTACCTGAAAAAATACCGTTTGGAAGTCACTGGCGCCCGTACTAAAAAATAGGGGGGGTCAGTGAGTACTGGACCCCCCTATTTTGATTATTTGACATTTGTTTTTTGTTTTGTTGATCTCAAAAGATGTAACTATTTATGTTGAAATAGTGTACCAAATTTGAACTTAATACCTTATTAATTACTCGAATTATTAAAAAATATCTGTTTTAAATTTCAAACTTTGTCGCCCTGTATATCGAACATGAAGCTCTAAATTGAAAAATGGTATTATGAAAGTCTTATTGTTTTAACTCAAGGAATATATGGTTAAAGGATTGACCTCCTTTTTCCGGACACCCTGTATAATTTCTGTGATTTTATTTTTAAAAATAAAATAAAATTGTTTAGTACCTACTTAGCCCAAAAAATACAATTATATTGCTGCATATATATAAAATTATAAGTAAATTGTAGGTACATATATAAAATTATAAGTAAATTCTATTTTCTATATAAATCTATAAAATTATAAGTAAATACTGCTGCATATCTATAAAAGTATGAGTAAATTCCTCAGTAAATTCATTTAAATTTTACGAATTAATCTTTTAACACAATTTTTTCAATTACAATACAATCACGTGGCATATGAATGTATTAAATAAATACAATAAGATGAGTAACATTCTAAAACCGCATGCCCAAAAAATAAACAAATCATTTTTGCTGTCCTTAATTTGTAATTTTAATGCAATGCTATTTGTAATCTTAATGCAATGTGAAACCTTTCAATTAAACACATTGTTTAACATTGTAAAAAATGTTAATCATGGCAAAAATATATTTAATCATTATTAAATTAGCATCTCATATTATTGTAATTATAATAAAATACTGCAATTTTGTAGGTAGGTGGGTGGTAAATTTACTGAAAAACAGACATAGTAGGCCTTGTATTTGGTAAAAATATGGTTTATTATTATTATTATTATCTACACTTTGAGTCGCAAACAAATGGGTCAAATTGTACCTATATATTTTTTAAATTTCTCTAAAAAACTAAACAATAACCTATAAAAATATATTTTTTAATAAAAGATTTCACTTGAAATACTAAAAAATAACCTAAAAATTTATTTGTTTTATGAAATTTCATAAAAAAACCAACGAGCAAATCCTAAGAAAATGTAAATATCATTAAAAAATATCGCGTGATGCTAAATTTACCAGGAAATAATCTAAATAAGTAGGTATAACTTGAAATATTTCCTGAAAGATTTAATAAACAAACTTTTCTCTGCAACAAAATTATTATTGTCTTTGTATCCCACAAAAATCAAGCTTGGTTATCCAATAAGAATCTTCCATGGTAATGTGATTTTTGGCGATATAACAATTTGATTGGTTGGTGTTTTGTCATTTTATCAGAGCTTGCTTGGTGTTTTTTAGTAGGTATATAAAACAATTTAATCTAGTTAAAAATAATTATATTTACTTGAAGCAAAAGGTTTTGGCAATTGTACATATCAAAATAAAGTTTGTCTATAAATAGATAGTTTCGTTGACACGTATTTTTGTTTATAAATCTTAAAAATACAGTGTATGCCTACCTAAAGGATAATTTAGCAGCTAGGTCAATAAGTTTATCTGTAGGACGTCAATTTTGCTGTTTGATTTATTGGTAATTAAGTCAGTTAATTTCTAATTTAAATGCACAAAATTGAAGTTAAATGCTTTCTAGGAAGTGTTAAAAAAAGTTATATTTACCATGTTGAAGTTTCGTAGATCGTGCAGCAAAAGCGTATTTTCCAGCGGTGGCAAAGGTGCACCGTACACTCGTCATTATACCAAAATAAACTAATTTTTTTCAATCCATCAACACTTGTTTAACGTTACAACCAACAGCACCAATTTTCAATAATACAAGAAAACCTTTTTAAACCTTGATGTGCAGTCAAGGTCCGCGTTTGAGTGACGCAACACAAAACAAATACCGCAAATAAAACCTTTGCAAAGTTTTAACGTGGCGATCGGACTGTAGGACTGCGTTTACCGCACGCGAAATTTGCTTAATTTACACTGGAAATTTTGTTAAACCGACGTGACTTATCGGCTAGTCAGCCATAACAACTGATTTTATAAAATGTTTACTTCACGTTTTGACAGACGACGGCCGTCACGATTTAATACAGGCACCTGTATAACCAAAGAACTAAATGCCGGAGGTTGGGAGTTTCATTGATAGATGGCGCTGCAAATTGAATTCTGCATATACTTACTGTGGTAAGTATATGGAATTCTGCAACATTTTGGTAAACAGCGGCAAAGCTGTAGAAAATTTTCCAAAAATCTTTTTTAAAAATGGGTTAAAATTGTGTTAACAATTTTAAAATAATGTAAATAATGCATGAACTTTTTGAAATGTTTAAAAAACGTATAAATTGTCTAAAGCCTTGGGAAGTTTTGAAAAGAAAAACGTGAACAATTTTGTATTAGTCTGGCAACGCTGTAAACAATAAATTTACAGGGTTGGCAACATGTTTTTTAAATAAGGTGACTTGATTTTAAATTTTAAGTGACGTGTGGTTTTAAAGTGCTTTTAAAATGACTAAATACTTGGACTTCTTGAGTGATTTTATAGAGGTGCTATAATTGAGGTTTATCTCTGCTATTGAGGAACAAGAAGTCGACAGAATCAATTTAAGGTTAGTGTATGTGTAATTTAAGATTTGCTCGAGCAGGATCCTTAAAACCAAAATAAAAGTCATTTGAGTATTTTTTTATTGACCATCTCATTTTTATTTACTAGGTACTTAAATATTGATGTTTTAAATTAACTAAATATTGCATTTCATTAACTTTTTGAATTGTGGTTTAATTTTATTTAATAAAATAAAAATGAAATATCTGATATTTTTACATTTAAAAATTTCTCCTATGATATTTTTAATTTAGCGAATTAAACAAAATGGCTATTTACATACCATGGGAGGAAAATAGTGGTTTTCCTCCCGCGAATAGTTTGATGCCCGAGGCGAAGCGAAGGGCATTAAATATTCAAGGGAGGAAACGCATTTTCCTCCTGAGGTATGTAGTTTTTTCTACTCCCACCTTTAAAACGCCCTTTATCGTACATGTTTCCATATGACACTAAGTGACCTTTTAAATACACATTGACAAGTTGTGGCTTTACGGCGCTTTAGTCACGGGCTGAAGTTAGCAACAGGACTATAGTCACGGGCTGAAGTTAGTTTTAAGTTAGTTGACAGTTGTAAAATGTTATAGAATCGTTAAAATAAAGTGCCTTTCTTGTAAAATAATACTACTTAAATGTGAAAATTATTTTATTATCTCAATACAAAAATACAAAAATATTAAATACCTAGTTTCTCAACGCCAATATTTGAAAAGTTTATATGAACATTGTACTGACCTTTTAATTTCGCCGGCAGTAAACTATAACTTAAATTCGGGCACGGACTCTATTGTAAAGTCCTCATAAAACATTTCCTTTACTTTCACTGTGAACAACTGTCAATTTTCAAGATAAATTTCGATTTATAACCTTTATAATTGTGTTTATAAAATGTAAAAATGTGACATTTGACAGTTTCCCCTGTTGTTTCATAGATGGCGCTCTATACAAATTTTTGATTTAAATCATTTTAAGATAATAATAAGTATTTGTCGTAGAAAAAGTATAGTATGCACCTCGTTTATAAACTTTCCCAAGTAGCACAGTTATATGATTTGTATATGAATTTCATATACCGACGGAAACAAATGGAATCTGAATATCATATGAATTTTTATGATATTCAGGTCAAGGGCATATCCTATGCACATGAAAATGGTAAGGTATTTCAGCTGCATATCATGTGAATTTGGCAGTCTTTGGAATATGATAGAGATATATTTTTCATTGCGTATGGAATATTACAATCCTGTTTCAACTTCAGGTAACAGCTAGTGCAGTTTAATATATAAATATATATATATATATATATTAAATGCATGGTGTCCCACAATTATTGCGAAAAAATAAAAGTGTATTTTCTGCAGACCCTCAGAAATTACAGAAAATTTTTAAAAATATTATTCCTTTATTATTCAATCTTCACTAGATCACAATACACACTAGATATTATAGAATTTATAGAAAAACTAAAAGGCACATGGCATAGCCGGCTCAAATCGCGCAACAGGTTCACTAATGGCGGCCAAGTCGCGTTAGCTTGTAAAGATGTCGAAAGACTCGAAGATTGCGAGAGAGGGCGACGCTCAACGAAGCAATCCGAATCAGAAAATTACATTAAACCGCGAAATTTAAAATTTTAGAAATTAGAAATAATTTTGTTATTAATTATTATTGTTCCCTGCATGGTTTATAGCAACAATTAAGTATTTACAATAGTTATTAGATAATAATGATTATTATTTGATACATAAAATAATAATTATTTTGATTGTAATCTTTTTATAGAGATGAAGAACTTGATTTTTTTAAATATTTGGCGCAAAACTTGACAAAAACATTTTTTTAAAACCTATATAATACATTGTATTATATTATAACTATTATATTATGTCAGTAACCTTAAGCTGACAGATATCTGTCACCTTTCATCATAGGACAGGTGACAGATGACAGGTGACAAATGACAGGTGGTAAATGACAGGTGACAAATTACAGGTGAAAGTTAATTAAAGTTGTTACTTTGCATCATAATTATGTTAACTGGTGACAAATTAGCCCGGATCCGATTGCGTCTGTCGACAGACGCAATCAGGATGTTAACAGAATTCTTGAGATGTCGTGTAATATTTGTGTTTCGGTATAGGTACATGATATTCTTAGGAACAGCATAATCTGTTTTTCATATGCTTTCGATAATATGACAGGAACATGAATATCACCTCAGGTATATACTAGACATATCGGGAAGGTCTGGAGCATATGAATATCATATACTGTGCTACTTGGGTTTCTATACACTCATTAACTTAATCACTCGCTCGCAAGCTCGTGCCTAAATTAAATTCGTGTATAAAATGGCGTTTATCAAACTTGATACATTATATACTATTTTCTATTACCTTTTAACGGTTTACATTTTAAGCGTTCCGTTTCCTTTTACTAATTAGTAAAAGGAAACGGAACGCTTAAAATGTAAACCGTTAAAAGGATTAATCCGGTATGGGGCTATAAAATTATGACAAAATATTAAGTAAGTGTTACAACGCTTTTTTGCTATGATATTTTTGGTAATACAAACATAACAGTTGTTATAAGCTGTCAGAATGTTTATCATAAATTTGAAATTGAGTTCTAACAAAGAAGACCTGCCGCAAGATCTTGCTAAAGAGGCAAAAATAGTTGCAATTAATTTCCTTCCTTAATAATCGAAAGAGCAATATGAACATGAATATAGTTTGTTCAAAGAATGATTGGACAAGCGCGGAGTAAATCTTTTTCCTACAAAATCAAATAGGGCTCGACAAGGTACAAAAACTCTTGCTAATGTAAAATTGTTAAAAAAAAAGGAGGAAATTTTTTTTCCTGGCAACGCTCTGCTTTACATAAAATTTAAAGGGCTGACATTATGATTTTTTAATATTGTTGCTTGATTTTTATTGCTGAATTTTGTGCAGTTTTAAAGTGATTTCAAAAAGACTTAACACTTGGTTTTAAGTTTTAAGTGCTATAGTCGGAATCAATTAAAGGTTAGTGTATGTCTACATATGCGCCTTAAAACTAAAATAAAAGTCAATTGTGTATTTTCTTTTTATTATCCTAGGTAGGTATCTCATTCTTATAAACTGCTTAAATATGGACATATAAATAAATAAACTTACATATGATAAACTCATTTAAATAAAATTGGACCAGCCTGTTTGACTAAAATGGCAGATCACAAAAAGTTTAATTTAAATAAATAATAATAACAGAGGAATTAATACTGAGGAATCGCGATTTTTTGGTAACTTATTTTACTATTATTTACACAATAAAATGCACAAGTAAAAATTCACTAGGTATTTACAATAGTAAAAGTCTAGACGCAACATTGTCAATCTGTCATTTTAAATCATTCGTGTTTTAACTGAAATACAACGGACGAGCATGAATAAGATAACCTCAAACCTTACGATTTCATTACTTTATCGCAAATCTCGTTGGTGAACTCTGAGCACTTGGCTTTGCCGCCCAAGTCGCCTGTGAGGAACTTGGCCTCCCTGATGGTGGCATAGCATGCGTCGGCGATTTTGTCGGCGTGCGAGTTTAGACCCATGTACCTCAACATCATCACGGCAGACAGTAGCAGCGCGGTGGGGTTGGCCAGGTCCTTGCCGGCGATGTCGGGGGCGGTCCCGTGGACCTGAACATAACAGGGTAAAGTAGACACTTTATAGTTATTGGACAATAGAGTAATTGCATCAAAAATGAAAATCCCTAAAAACCTTTTTAATGTAATCTAGAGGTAAAAACACATTGCGAAAATATTTTTTTACATTCCAAAAGTTCAACCCGGCCCCAAAATATCAAATTGAAAAAAAGGTACTTTTCAAACGTTCCCGAACTCCCGCCATATTTCATGACGTCATAAACCTACACCAGTGTCAGAAATCAAGATGTCAACAAATAATAAACACCGATAAAGTTTATGTTTAACATGGAAAACGCGAAAACAAAAATTGGTTGTAAATATTGTTTTGTGCCTTGTTGTACAAATACAACCTGGAAAACTCCTGGGAAAGTTGTCCCTTCAATTATCAAAAGCAAAGTTTATGACCCTACACTGAGAGCCGTTACGGCTCAGCCGTATTTTCTTGAGTTTATTATTATTTAACATACCTATTCCAACCATATACCTAGTAAACGACATTATATTTTACTTACATTAAAATGATCCTCGCAGCAATAAAATGTTGACTGCGGTGACGATGTTTTGATATCGCGCCGAGCTATTTTAATCCACTTTATCCTTATTTTCCCTTTTGGCACGGTGATAAACCTTTTCCCAGGAGTTTTCCAGGTTGTATTTGTACAACAAGGCACAAAACAATATTTACAACCAATTTTTGTTTTCGCGTTTTCCATGTTAAACATAAACTTTATCGGTGTTTATTATTTGTTGACATCTTGATTTCTGACACTGGTGTAGGTTTATGACGTCATGCAATATGGCGGGAGTTCGGAAACGTTTGAAAAGTACCTTTTTTTCAATTTGATATTTTGGAGCAGGGTTGAACTCTTGGAATAAAAAAAAATATTTTCGCAATGTGTTTTTACCTCTAGATTACATTAAAAAGGTTTTTAGGGCTTTTCATTTTTGATGCAATTACTCTATTACAGACTTCGATTTATACATTTAGTGTTGGTACCAGTGCGCAAAATTATGACGTGTACGTCGTTTCCTTTTAAATTTACCTACTATAGTTGATATTTATTTACTTGAAAAATAGACCAACATTCTTAATTCAGCATTTTCTTACCGATTCGAAGAGAGCGCCGTTGAGGCCGATGTTGCCGGATGGGGTGAGACCGAGACCTCCCACAAGTCCTGCGCACATGTCCGACAAGATGTCGCCGTAAAGGTTAGGCATGACGAGCACGTCGTACTGCAGAGGGTCCTGGACCATGTTGAGGCACACGGTGTCGAGGTATTTCTCTTCGAACTTCACCTCGGGGTATTTTTTCGCCATGTCCCTGCAACATCTCAGGAAGAGACCGTCCGACATTCTCCTGCAGAAATGTGAAGATATGTCAATTTTTGTTTAAAAAATAATTTTAATTTTAATCGGCAGTAAAGTAGAATACGAGTATTGTATGCAACCCATTATACATTTTAAGATGTGTCTACTGCTCCTCAGCAGCAACTAAATAATATTTAAAAATAAAAGGACCGTCGCGGAGGTCGATTGGACCCTTTCATAAAATGTTGTTTAATAAAAATAATAAGTTAATTTTATTAATAAGATTAAAAAATCGCCGCGGCGTGCAAATAAATATAATAACCGTCGCAACAAACAGTATACGTAGACACTTCCTACATTCAAATGGCATTTGATTTGATCATCAAATGACATTTGATTTAATCATCATATTATGTGGTATACATCTTTTCAGGGACACCTTGTATAATACAAGTAAAATAAATGGTATTTATATAAATATAATTTATATGATATAAATTATGCATTTAAAGCATTTTATAGTGTTTAATTAATATCTTCATTTATATTAAATATATATAATTGAAGAAAAGAAACATTAAAAAAATCGTTAAAAATCATTGAAAATCCTACAAATAGCAAAATAAGTTTTTTATAGGATGATTTTTTTTATAAATGTTTATCATGTAAAACTTTCAAACCTTAATTGGAAAAAATAATAATGATAAAAATTATACATACATACATACATACATACATTTTTTATCAAAAATAACGACCTCTTAATCGCAATTCAACCTAATCAAAGGGTATTTAAATGTGACCCAAAATCCAATAATTTTTATTTTACTTTGGTCAGCAGCACAGAGTAAATAAAACGGTAAGAGTGTTTATTTTTTATTTGATCTAGTTGGTGTTGGGTAGTAGGGTAAAGTAGATAGTTATCAGACACAAGTTGGTAACGCTTGAAAACATTTACTTACATGATGTTAGCCTTGTGTACAGCTGTCACCTTATGCCTGTTATTCTCCTTGGCATACTGGAAAGCGAACTCGGCCACTCTGATGGATGCATCCTCGGTGATCAACTTGATGCTCTGCACGACACCGTCGACGATTTCGTGCTCGATACCGGAATACTCGCCCTCGGTGTTCTCTCTGATCGTCACTACGTCGACGTGATCGTAGAGGGTTTTGTAGCCTTCCAAGCTTTTGCAGGGTCTGACGTTAGCGTACAGGTTGAACTCTTTTCTCAAGGCCAAGTTGAGGGATCTGTGGCCTTTACCGACCGGGGTCATCAGGGGGCCTTTGAGGCCGATTTTGTTGCGGTTCACGGAGTCGATGGCGGCCTGGGGGATGCCGAATTTACCATCGGGCCCCTAGAAAATACACCAATTGCTATTTTTATGCAAGTTGTTGTCAATATATTTTGTCGACATATTAATTTATTTTAAATTATTCCGAAATAAAAATTCTGTAAAAATACATTTGTTGGTGCAGAATTAACTAATGATTACTTTACCTAATATAATTTATATTTAAGTTTGGACATTTTTAAGAAATTAGTAAAACACATTTTTTGCACAAACATAACCTTAAAATCAATTCAATCATTTTTATATTTAAGTTCTCTAAAAATCGGCAACAACTGCATCATAGATAACAAAGCATTTTAAACAACAAAATATACCTACGAATTCATGGCAACATAATATTATATATAATACATAATATAATGGTATTTTACCGTTGAGTGGAGACTTTCTTAATCAACGCTTTTAATAATGCTAAATGCTGTTTAAATTTAGACGACTTATTTGTTTGACGATTTTTACTGAATTGAAATGTTTACACTTTTCACGTTAATCACTACTAAAATGTGTATTTATTGTCAGTGGCGGCCCGTCAGGGGAGGCAGGTGAGGCAGTGCCTCATCATAAAGAATTAAAAAATTAAGTATAATTTAAATATTTTACTTTCTATAATATACTATAAATTTTTAATATTTGGATTACATGAATTGTGAAATAGTCAATAAAATTGATTGATTTTATACGTGGAATACCCAGCAACATTTAAATTATTTAAATTTGAAACGACCGCAATTTAAACTAATATTTTTAGCTAGATGATTGGCTCAGAAGCATGCCTGAACTAATTTAGACTCACGATTGGCGTTAGCCTTGTTGTCTCGTTCTATTACAATGCGATATCATAGTTGTCTCCTCTCGTATTAGCATACGCGAGGCAGGCACGCCTACATCCAAGGAAATAAGCAGGTGTTGTGGCAACACTGTTGCGGAATTTTAGATAAATTATACTTCACACGTTTTTCAAAACTCAATAATAAATGGTATTATTTTTCTTATAATAAATCGATTTAATCGAAATTATATTTTTATTCTAAAATAAACATATTTTAACACTATCGCCATCTTGTAGCCATCACAGTAACCAATAAAATAAATACAGATTCCTTCTTTAGGTTGGTTTTGGTTATAAAATTCTGAACTGTTTAAAGAACAAATCTGTGGTTATTTAAGCAATATTTTGTTTATTCTTTTTCTATGAGTTTTTTTATTTTATGATTCTTTTGTAAGTGGTTTATTCTGTGGGTTTAGTTAATTGAACTTGGTGATTTATGTGAATTTAGTCATTATGGATATTACAGTGAGAAATTGTACCGATATTGTTGACCTTCACGTGGTTCTTGCTGAACAATGAAATATTAATTAGACAAAAATGAGGTTTATTTAAAATAAACGTCATTTTTACAATAAAATATATTTCATTGACAAAGTAGAGGATTCCTTCCCCACCACAGTCCAAGTTTTTTACTTAGTTTTAAGTGTAGTTTGTGAACTGCGAAGTCAGATTTTTTAAGTTGGGTTTAAAAAAATTTCTTCGCCTTTAAATGAGGGCGAAACCCTGCCTCTGCCTTACCAAAATGAAATGTCGCGGGCCGCCACTGTTTATTGTATCTAATAGGTACAATTTATATTTACAGACTGTATGCAATTTATTTCTTTATTCAGATTAACACTGTTTATTGGTAAACCCGGAAAAACTCAACCCAGGATTTCCTATCGAAATACTCCCAAAAACACAACAAATCGAGCCACGGTTTTTTCCGATATTTTTTAACATTTTCCGGCTTTATTCTCAAAAACACTCGTTTGTAACATAAGCGTCTGACAGCTGATTATTAAAAGTTTTACTTTAATAGCTTATATTAAAATCTGATATATTAACCCAAAAAACGTAACCAGGGTCCCTTGTCTCCTGCCGCCTTTTTTGACAAGCAATCCATATTTGTATGTAGATTACCTTAATTGATCTTTGCAAAATATTTTTTAGTTAATATAAGAACTATTAACTTCTGTTATAAGACTTATTTACTTGGAAAATCTTATACTGGTCTTAATAAAAAAAAATATCATCATATGTCTCCCAATTTTTTTCTGATGCGACTAAATGACGATACTTTTTCCATTAATTTAACATAGAGTTTTTACACTTTTATTAAATTGATTTTTTTCTTCTTTATATATTCAATAACTTGTTGATTTTTTATTTAACATTACATACAGAATAAATATTAAATTAAACAAAATTATTGGTAAAACCGTAAAAATTCATTTTGATTAAAATTTACAAAAAATATTCTTATCAAAAATACTTCATCCAAAGAAGCAGAATCAACAATATTTGGTAAATTATTGAAAATAATAAACAAAACAAAATTAACTCCAAAAAGTGAAAATGAATGTTAAATGAATGGAAAAAGTATCAAAATTGTTATTAGGATATAAACTAACAATTTAAATGATACCAAAGTAAAAATTTGGTAAATAACGGACACCTTAATATATATCCAAAATCAAGAAGGCCTATGAGCTAAAGTGACTAAAAGTGCATTAAATAGTGTTATTTTTATAAAATGTTATATATTCTTCTCACCCTAACTGGTGTAACGTCCACACTCTCCCATTCAATAGGAACTTTGGCACATTCAAATATTTTCTGTACAGCAGCTGAAATTTCAGGGCCAATACCATCTCCAGGAATTAACGTGCATTTTTTCACCTCTCCGCTGTACAATCTCACCCCAACTGCATTCGTTTTTGACTGAAAATAGCGAAAATACATGTGATATAACCTCAAAAACAAACGTCAAACTTTCGTTACATAACACTTACTATATTTAAGTCTTTTTGGACATTTTCGACTGGTTTAACATTGAAAAAACTCTTTAACTTACTTATCAAACCATTTTTACCACTATTATTAGCGATATTCTTTATATAATTGGACATTTCAATCAAAAATTACACACCCGTTTTAAGTAAGGTTATGAATAAACTACGGTTGGGAATTATTTAATAGGGACTTACAAGGTTTCTTAAAAGTCTGCAGGCCATTTTATATTATCTTTGTACAAAAAATTTTCAGTTTCTTCCTTCGGGAATATTAAATGACACCCCTTATGTCACTCTTTGTAGAGATGGCGTTCGGAATTTCGAATTTCTGATGGGAATTTTCGATAGGCAACCCAGATTGCGAATAAAGGGGCTGCGTTCTAGAATAGTATTATAAATTGGAATTAATCAAGTCAAGAAATAAATTGAAGGCTTTTTAGGAAAATAACAACGTGCCTTTAATGAACTAAATGTCCTATAAAGGCTAACGCTACATTTTTAACCATATGCATATTTTATTAAACTTCCCAAGCAACAATTTAAGTATTTAAGACTATTGAAGAAACTTTAAAGTGTTTTGCGACAGTCGCCGGTCTATTTATATTACTCTTTCATTACTAAGTTACGACTAAAGTGGAGAACAATTATTGAGTTCCAAAAAGCTAGCAAATATGTCACTAGCACGTTACTAGAACGTTTCAATATCGTTGCTAGAGCGTTATAATTACTTTTATGTATTTGTTTTTACTTCTATATTAACTGTCTTTGTCAAACTTATATTAGATTATACTATCCCTCCTTTTTTAAATGGAACCACTACAGACTTGGCTTTTCAATGTCGTCGTTTATTACCCAAGCAACAATTTAAGTATTTGTTACGTATATGGGACTATTGAAGAAACTTCAAAGTGTTTTGCGACAGTCGCCGGTCTCTTTATATTACTCTTTCATTACTACGTTACGACTAAAGTGGGGAACAATTATTGAGTTCCAAAAAGGTAGCAAATATGTCACTAGCTACCAACCCTGCTACTATTTGGGACGTAGCTGCTACGTTACTAGAACGTTCCAATATCGTTGCTAGAGCGTTATAATTACTTTTATTATTTGTTTTTACTTCTATATTAACTGTCTTTGTCAAACTTATATTAGATTATACTATCCCTCCTTCTTTAAATGGAACCACTACGGACTTGGCTTTTCAATGTCGTCGTTTATTAAATATGTACTGGTAGTTTATAACTTCCAGAATAACAATATAATGTTTAATTAGACAGGTAGATTTATAAACCCTTTAAATTTTACTGTTGAACTTATGAATTTAGTTTTTGTAAAATAAATGCGCTTCATCAATATTTAAGTATAAACAAATTATTTATTTAGTAATGTTTATAAATAAAAAAATCTTAATATTTATTATTATTTTTTTTATTTAATTATTAATACCGTCTATTACCAACAATATTTCTATTTATTAAAAAGTAAACAACCATTTACAAACAATTAAAATAATTTATTATTTACATTACCACGTGGTACTGTACAGTAAAAAATGGCCGATAAGAAGCATTTTCCTTTGAAGTAGTTTTCGCTACTTTAAAGTTTTTTTCCACTTTACGGTTGTTTTGGTTAGTACCATAAACGTTCCAAATACTAAAATAATAACTTTTAAGTTATTAACTTTGTAGTTTTTAACTCATGTTCCAGTTTCGAGATTTTAACTTGCAAAGGGACTACAAAGTAAAAATAATTATAATGTAATCTTTAGGTAGCAACCGAAAGTAACTGCTACAAATTAAATTTACTTGAAAGTTTTTTTTACTTATAACACCTTTTTTAAAGTTGCAAAGTCTTCTTGGGGGCAACCAAGTTTTACTTAAATGTTTATTACTTTATAGTAACAATTTAAGGAAAAATTAAGTTTCGGTTACAAAATATTGCTATTTAAAAGTTAGAATTACTTTTAAGTAAAAATTAAAGTAGCTGTTTAGTATACTTAACTAATTTAAAGTTATCACCACTTTGGCAATGGTTTTTGGAACCAAAAATGCTGCTTGGGTAAATATGTACTGGTAGTTTATAACTTCCAGAATAACAATATAACGTTTAATTGGGCAGCTAAACTTCTAAAACCTTTAAATTTTACTGTTGAACTTATGAATTTAGTTTTTGTAAAATAAATGCGCTTCATCAATATTTAAGTACCTATAAACAAATTATTTATTTAATAATGTTTATAAATAAAAAAATCTTAATATTTATTATTAATTTTTTATTTAATTATTAATACCGTCTATTACCAACAAAATTACTATTTATTAAAAAGTAAACATGTTTGCAACCATTTACAAACAATTAAAATAATTTATTATTAACATTACCACGTGGTACTGTACAGTAAAAAATGGCCGATAAGAAGCATTTTCCTTTGAAGTAGTTTTCGCTACTTTAAAGTTTTTTCCACCTTAATTTACTTTACGGTAGTTTTGGTTAGTACCATAAACGTTCGAAATACTAAAATAATAACTTTTAAGTTATTAACTTTGTAGTTTTTAATTCATGTTCCAGTTTCGAGATTTTAACTTGCAAAGGGACTACAAAGTAAAAATAATTATAACCGAAAGTAACTGCTACAAATTAAATTTACTTGAAAGTTTTTTTTACTTATAACACCTTTTATAAAGTTGCAAAGTCTTCTTGGGGTCAACCAAGTTTTTAATGGTTTTTGGAACCCAAAATGCTGCTTATACCTATTAAATAATTTTAATTGTTTTAATAAAATAATAATGGGTAAAGAAAATCGGCCCATGCCAGAAGTTTCCTGAAGATTTTGAGAATTTCTTAAGTACTGGGATTTTTTAGAAATTTGGCAACACGGCAAAAACTCCCAGAACAAAATAAAACAGTTGTTTACAATAAAGATTTATTTTTATAAATATTTGTGATAATTTATTATGGAAATGTTTGCTAAATCAAATTAATTGAAAATATACTAAAAGTACTATATATTACCTTAATTCAACATTAAATATAAATTAAACAAACAAAACAACTTAAGTAAAAAATAACTAACAAATTTTTGAGGTAATATTTAAGTCGAGTTGAAATTTTAGAGCGAAATGGCATTCATTTTTAATACTAAATTATAATTATTTACAACATTAAAATCAGTCTAAAATTCAAATTCAAATAAAATATTACCAAACCTATTCTAAAGACCCTGTATATATTTTTTAACATTTTAACCTGATGAATTATTATTATTAAATAAATTGTGTTTAGATTGTAAACAAATAATTCAGGTGATACCCAACTCGGGAAATAACGGACACATTATATACAGGGACTCCAGTCAGTTCATTTTGGCTTGACAATTTTTCACTGACTGCACAAAGAAGATAATTACTATGGTTACTGGATGACAACTAAAGTACCTTATGGGTAATGACTAATTACGTAATGATGAGGTTTATGACTTAATGTAATAATGAGTCTTAATATCTGTACAATCACCATGTTTTGGAAATATTTTCTAATATCCTAACTTCTTAAGGGCTTTTAGGTCCACGTCCTTGTAATAATCCTCGCTGAAAATAACAATTTTAAGTAAAAAAGTGGATAAACACTTGTTAAAAATATGTAGGCCCAGACAAATGAAAACATTTTTAATTTAAAAGGAAAAATATGCAAAGACAACTTTTATATAAAAAACTTATTTTATACTTACTAGTTAATAGCTATTATTCTGTATATACAGGGTGTTATGTAATTAATGTAATTTTAGTTACGAATTCAATTTGGGCACGAGCAAGCTTGCGAGCGAGTGCTTAATTAAATGAGTGTCTAGAAAACTTTATAAACGGGTCTATGACAAATACTTAATATTATCTAATAAATGATTTAAATTAAATATTTGTATAAAGCGACATCTATACACAAATAAAGTAACAATCCCAATAAACATTTTTGACGTTATTTTCACCATTAACATTTCCCGTTATTATTTTAATTAAAGTTATAAACTTAACAATTATTGATACTTTAAAATATTAAAATAACTTCAATATACATATGATTATGTTGAGAAAAGTATTAAATATTCTTTTGTTAAAGGTACAAAAAGTACAAAGTCTCAAATTTTTCTGTGTAAATCAAAATTTATCCCTTAAAAATCGATGTGGAAGCAGTTGTTCATAGTAAAAGAGAGAATTTTTAACGCCTTAACAGTTAAATCTAGTTAACTGCACTAATACGGCGAAATCAAAAGGTCAGTAAACGTTCATATAATCTCATTAAACCTTCGGTCATCTATGCATTAAACACACTGTAATAGTACGCCCATCTAAACTGCGCACCACTCAATGTGTCGCGACCAAAAAATTCGTCCCTTTTCAAAACGACATAACTTTTTTGTTTCTTAAACGATTTTATTTTGGTTTGTGATGTCTGCTAGCCCCATTCTCTGGCAATTCATGCTATAGATATGAAGCTTACGGTTCTTCAAGTAAATTTACTACAGGGTGATATGTAAAACAGTAAAAAATTTCAATAACTTCATCCAAGCCCCGTTTGTAAAATAAATATTTTTTCTAGTTTTTACTTTGAAGTAATGAAGTATTATGTCTTACCTTGAAACGTTTTTCAAATTTTTCGAATTGGAATCTTAGCAACAAAAATATAATTTTTTTTTCAATTGAGTACATTTGATGCTTTTTTGTAGGCAATACACTCAGCCTTTTTAAGAACAAAAAGATAAGATGGTGAAAGATTGTCCCTTGAATAATTCTGAACAAGCGACAAGCAACAAACTTCCATTATTTTCAGAGGAACCTAATCAAAGACCACTTTTTCAAAATGACATTTTGGTGAAAATTTTCGAAAACTAAACCTGAACCGATATTTACGTTCGTGACATGTTTGCTTTATAATTTTGACCTCCTGATTCAGTTGTCAAATTTAAGTTTTAGATAAAACCAAAATCACCAAGAATCAAAATTCTAAAACAATTCCCCAAAATTTGTTTGTTCATTTTTGAAAATTTTATGCGAAGATATTATCATAATAAAAACTGCAACATTCAACAGAAAAATGTAACAAATAATAAAAATAATAACTTTCAATATTTCGTTGGCCCTCACCTAACCCGTAATAATTCATTAACCCTCCTGGGAATTCCCTAGACCAAGTTCCTTAGCAATTCCTGGGGTATGGCTTCCCATTCTTCCTGAATCGAATTTACCAATTTATCGTAAATATCGGTTCAGGTTTAGTTTTCGAAAATTTTCTCCAAAATGTCATTTTGAAGAAGTGGTCTCTGAAAATAATGGAAGTTTGTTGCTTGTCGCTTGTTCAGAATTATTCAAGGAACAATCTTTCACCACCTTATCTTTTTGTTCTTAAAAAGGCTGAGTGTATTGCCTACAAAAAAGCATCAAATGTACTCCATTGAAAAAAAAAATCATATTTTTGTTGCTAAGATTCCAATTCGAAAAATTTTAAAAATGTTTTAAGGTAAGACATAATACTTCATTATTTCAAAGTAAAAAAGAGAAAAAAATATTTTTTTTACAAACGGGGCTTGGATGAAGTTATTGAAATTTTTCACCGTTTTACATATCACCCTGTAGGAAATTTACTTGAAGAACCGTGAGCTTCATATCTATAGCATGAATTGCCAGAGAATGTGGCTAGCAGACATCACAAACCAAAATAAAATCGTTCAAGAAACAAAAAAGTTATGCCGTTTTGAAAAAGGACGAACTTTTTGGTCGCGACACATTGAGTGGTGCGCAGTTTATATTACCTAATTTTGGGCTGCTGATTTTAAAAATGCCACTCGTTTTGCTCCAGGAAGTCTAGGATTCGAAATAATTGCGTAATAAAATGCTCTGCCCAATTATCTCCAAATGTAAGTTTTTCGTTAATATTTTGATTATTTATTAAATTATTTTGTCTTAAATCTATTTTGGATGTTCAGTATATTTTTGACGTTTTTTGTCAAAAATATACAGGGACTCCATACAAAGTCATCGGTAGATAAACGTCAAATATAAATTTTTTTGTTTCATTGTAGCCGTATACTATAGCAGTATTAAATACCAAAACTAAAATTATAATGTTTTTTTTGGTAAAAAGTATAATTTTTTGAAATTTTTGTTTCGTTTTTTTAATTACCTACTAATTAAATTGAAAAGGCAGCAAATTTGCTTACTTACTTACTTACTTACTTACTTACTTACTTACTTAAGTAAATGGGTTTCGGTATAAACATTACTCTTCGACTATTATTTGATATTTTTTTATTCACATCATGCCTAAAGTACCCAAAAATTCAATCTCCAATCTTATTTATTAAGTCTTATCAAAATTTAAAATCGAATTGAAGTATAAAGGCGCCTTTACCTAATTTATCGTTCAAGCACATTAAAGTGCATCTATTAATTTTTGACATTTCAAATTTAAACTTTAAATTGTATTTTTACTTGAAAGTGATTTTAAGAACCAAAAATGAAAAAAGAGCAGGAAATGGAAGTGGTAATGGAAGTGGTAGAGAAAGAGAAAGGAGACGAACATTTATGTCGTTGTGGTAAATTTGTTTTGTTTTTGTTGCGGTACCTTTACGCCCAAGAAAAACTAACGCAATATTTCATTACAAATTTTTATGAGATATACCTACCACTTTAATTTTGCGGGAATATTAAATGGACCTTATATACGACGTTTAATGAAAGATTAAGCATTCAAAAATGCTCTCAAAGTTGACGAGCTTGTCGCATATGGCAGTGTTAAAGCTGTCATTGAAAATGTTCTTGGTTCATATCGGGCCTAAAATTGGCGCCAATTCATTAAATAAATGCTCTCCGTTTTGTAAAGAATTAGCGTTAAAATGTCATTTAAAATACATTTTCTTTTTTTTATCCTGATAAATTTGCCGAACTGATAAACATGGAGAACGATTTCACCAAGTAACTGCAAATCTAGAGCATTGGTAGATACCTATGGGTATAGCGGAAAGAAGTTGGATTCATTGCCAGGAGACATTTGCTGGAATTTGCAGCAAAAGATGTACGACGATGATGAGGATTAAGCACAATAATACTATAATTTAATTTGATATTTGATACGATTTAATAAATTTAAGGTAAAAAAAGCAAAATTATGCAATGCTTTAAATTTTGTGGCCTTAATTTGGATAAAAAATACCGAAACTTGTTTACTGTGTTGCCAATTCAATTCAATAATTAAAATAAACGACAAAAAATGGCAAATAATGGTTGATTTTTACATAAAATCCATTAAAATTTTAGTTTTAGTAATTAAAATGTCATATTGTTAAGATAAATATGATCTAGGTATTTGCCGTATACCAATTACTTCAGTACATTCAAGATAAATTTAAGCCAAAATAATTCAATAAATAATTAAAATACTAACAAAAAAAATTACATTTTGAGGTGATTGAGCAGAGCATTTTATTACGAAATTATTTTAAATCCTAGGCGTCCTAGAGAAAAACAAATGACATTTTTGTAATCAGCGGCCCAAAATTAAATCAAGCTGGAGTACTCAATGTTAGGAAAAAAAAGTTTGTAATACTTTTATATTTTTGTATTGATATAATAAAATAATTTATCTCCACGCGGTCTATAATTTAAACTGTATTGTTGTCAACATTCGATAAAGAAATACCTTGTTATGGCCTAGGCCGATAAAAAATTTTATGACGCAAGTAATTAGTTCGATTTTTTCTCGCTAGGGGTACCTATTGTTTTGACAAATTAATCCTTTTCTAAGAAATTAACGGACTAAACTGGTTTAATTTATTTATAATAAGCACTAATTTGTTTGTTTTACTGTTAATGTTTAATATTTTTCATTAAATTATTGTAAAATTAATATGAATAATAAAACAAAAAGTGAGGTTAGGCAACCAAGAAAACGCACGATTCTTTTTCTACGATTTAAATTATCTTTAAGTTTTAATTTGCTTTAAGTTTTCAGTTAAATTAAATGTTAAACACAGCTTAAAGATTCCAAACTACCTATTTTTTAAATAAAAATCCAAACAAATTGAAATTAGATACCTACCTATTTATTAAACAATTAATTGAATTCAATGTAGGTAATAGCAAAAATCAATTTCTACTTAAATCATGTTGCTAGGTATTGTCAAACTATTACTGCTTCTAAAAGCAATAATAATTATTGTACATTTAATGTAATCTTTAGCTAATAAATAAATGAGATTCTAAAAAAGTGAGGTTAGGCCGTTTTTAAAATGTTGTATGCCATTCGGCCACGAAGTGCCTTTTTGTGCTTCGCTCAATTGTAGGCCCCCGCTACGCGTCGGCCTTCAAACCTTGAGCTTAGCACAAAAAGCCTTACTTCTTAACCCAATGACATAAATAACTATTAGTATTATTTTACAAGAAAGGCACTTTATTTTACCGATTGTATGACATTTGACAATCTCAGAAAAAATAATTTAGATTCTAAAATTTAATTAAAAAAATGTTATTGTTAAAATTTTGTTAATATTTCATGCCTATACACAAGATGCAGTATAGAATTGAATCCCAAATCCAAATAAATAAATATCCATTTTAGAATATGTAACATACAATAAATTTTAAAACACCCGGTGTTATATATATATATACATTGATAATAAAGAGGTGCTTATAAATATATTAATTATTATCTTAAACCAGAATATTGTTTGTTATGAAAGATTTGATGTCAAAGATCCCAAAAGAAAAGGGGTCAAGGGGGATGATATGATAACGGGCAACAAAAACAAGACATTAAAAAAAGATTTTTTTATTAATAAATAAAAAATCATGATAAATCTTTTTGTACCGTATAAAAGGTTTAAAACACGTCTCGACGACTCTATCGTGTTACTTTTGTTAAATTAACCTAACGACTAACAGACTTGACCCTCCGCTATTTTTGTTCAAGGGCTAGTTGGCGGGTTGCTCGGGGGCAGTGCGGGAGGCAGGGGCGGGCCTTGGTTTGCCTTTGTTGTGAGTCACCGCTCTGGATGAGCCGCTGCTGTTAAGACCCGCCAGAAGTTCCGACTTTCTGATGCTCTTCAAGTCCAGGTCTCCGTAGTAGTCTTCGCTGCGATTGGAGGGGTAGTTTAGATGTTTTGTTTTTTGTTGGTGGGTTTTTTCAGTGTTTGCAGTAGAGTCACGAAAAATGGTTTTTGAAGGACTTGTTTTCAGGGAATGAGAGTTACAGGGTGATTTATTAATACCCAGAGAACCAAGGTTTGGAAAGCAATTGGCCAACTTCTTTCCAACTAAGTTTCTATGCCATGCGCAATAGCGAGTTGTAGATCGTAAAAAGTAAATTAATATTTCAAGATCTTCTCTACAAAAAGGCGTAAAACATGCAAAAAAAGTATACACAGAAAGAAAAACTGTACGTAAAATTAATAAACTGCTTTCGTCAATTTTTTGTACATTAATATTATGTATTGGTGATTATTACAATGCTTTTGCATCATAGATTAATAACTAAGTACATTGAAACAATAAACTAGTCAACATTAAACGATAAATTAATTATTTTCTTCATCAATATAATATAAAAATTTATTGAATTAACTATTGACGATCATTAAACGATGTTCTTTATCTTTAAAACAATAAATTTTTCGTCATAGATCCATGAACAGCAAAACATAAATAATAATAAACTGTCTTCATTGTCCCAACGGTCACTAAACATTGATTTTACGAACTTAACAATTAACTTCTTAAAACGCGCCAAAATTAATGCTTCCGTACGCTGATTTAATCAACATAAACATTATTATAACGAATCGCTGTCGTAGACCGAAGGTTATCGCACGACTTTTGGGTGGAGAATTTTTACATGCAATTTTTATCTTGTCAGTCTTAAGCGTCAAAAGGATAGTTCCGCGTTTAACCCTAAAGCTTTATTAGTGAAATTGTGATAAATATATGGAGCGAAGTCAAAGTGTGTAAGCTTGTGAAATTATTTTAAACATTTTTGACCTTTTTGGATTATTTTTTAATTTTTGTACCTAATATACCTACGAAACCGAGGTGTGTGAGCTTTTGAAGTTATTTTAAACAGTTTTGACTTTTTTGGATATTTTTTTTTATTTTTAAGTTTTAAGTGAATGAGTTTTTAGTTTTTAAAATATACACTTTTAATATTTTAAATAAAATAATTTAGGATTTCATGTAATTAAGGCGGTCGATATATGTTTTAAAATTATTTATATATTTAATCTTGACTTTTTACAGGAAAGAATATTTTGGAACTTTTTAGATAGAGCATTTTGTAAACCTCTTTAGAGCCCAAAGGTTCATATTATTTGTAAATTTATCTTGCAATAAAAAAATGTATTTACCAAAAACGTCTTTATTTTAAAGAACCTCCTTTTGTGATTGATTGATCAAGTCGTATATTGCACATTTATTGGCAAAACTTTTTCAAAGGTGATAGGGCAATTTTTAACCTGACATGGCTCTCTGGGTATTGCGAAAAATACAGTGTTTCAAGATTTACGTAAGTAAAAAAAAATCCAAGTGTCAAAGGAAAACAAACAAACAAACAAAACATGGGATAAGAGATGTGTATGTATATGTAGGTGGTAAAATGAAAGATTGGCTAACTAGTTTGCGTAATATGTAAAAAAACGTTATTAATTGATTCTGATTTGGAAACGCAAAAGGAAAACGAAGTATGTCTTAACTAAGAAGTAATTGATTTTGATGTAAAGATGCAGGCATCTCTACACACCTATTATATAACAGTTTCTTTCTATGACATTTCTAAAAGCCTAAAGGTTAGTCGTAATGAATAGAACATACATATATATTAGACTGGCCGAAAAAATCGACTATTTTTTTTTGTAAATTATATAGAAAATATTGTTTGGGGTGACAAAAAAATTATGGTCGCAATTTTAGATTTTTTTTCCCGAGCGAGTTTTGCCTCAGAACTCCTAAACCATTGAGTTTAACAAAATTGACTTAAGAATATTTTTTGAAGAAAATTGAATGCTCTACAAAAAAGGTTAAATTGGAATTTCCCGTCAGATGAACCGTTTTCTTACAATCATGCCTTAAAAATTGGTATAGTTTTACAATTTGATCTTTTAACTTTGGAATTTTGTAATTCATGTAAAAATCAGTACCCGGAAAAAACCGATAGATATTCTTATGGGAAATCAAATGCTTTTTGGCTAAATTCACTCCATCAAAAGTTATTCAAGGTTAAATTTGAAGTCGAAACGAAATTCTTGTTTTTTCCGCTCTAGATTTTTTTTTGGGTCAGTTAAAAACTTGGATTCTTTTATCGATGATAATCTTTATGTTATTGATAAAATTATTGAAAATTTAAAAAAAAATAACTCATCACAATTTTTTCGCTTTAAGAAGCTATTTTCTTTAGAAAATATTATTTTCACTGTTACCTATTTAATCGTTTAAATAATAACAATCATGTTGTTTTTTTATTGGAAATTGTTAATTAGTTATATAATACACATTTATAAAGACAAAAATCAAATTATCATCTATAAAAAAATAAATCTCCAGAGGAAAAAACAAGAATTTCGTTTTGATTTCAACTTTAACCTTGAATAACTTTTGATTCAGTGAATTTAGCCAAAAATGTTAAGAGGCTTTTTTTGTAAAGCATTTGATTTCCCATAAGAATATTTATCGGTTTCTTTATGGGTACTGATTTTTACATGAATTACAAAATTCCAAAGTTAAAAGATCAAAATGTAAAACTATACCAATTTTTAAGGCATGATTTTAAAGAAACGGTTGATCTGACGGAAAATTTTATTTTAACCTTTTTTGTAGAGCATTTAATCTTCTTAAAAAACTATTTCTAAGTCAATTTTGTTAAACTCAATGGTTTGGGAGTTCTGAGACAAAAACTTGCCGAGGAAAAAAATTTAAAATTGCGATGATAGACCTCTTAATATTAATTTTATGGACCCAAACTTTCACCATAATTTTTTTTGTCACCCCAAACCACATTTTCGATATACATTTAAAAAAAAATAGTTGATTTTTTTGGCGCAGCCTAATATATACAATACAGTGCTTGCAAATCCAAGTCCGACCGGGTTGGGAAGGACGGTTGTTCAATACCCGCGTGAAAAGAGTGGTTTTAAAAGAAGGATTATAGCTTGTCAAAATAGCCCTGGCAATACAGAGAAACTGATAAAAGCTGTTTTAGAGTTTATTCTCAGAGAAATTCACATTTTATATTATTTATATTTTATTTTTTTTTTGTAATAAAATTGGTAAGGATAAGGTTCTTTTTATTTTATTTAGACTTTTGAAAATGCCATAGAAAGAAACTACCAAAAGATACACATAAGTGCATATAATATTAAAAAAAGCAATCATCGATCATAACTTTTCGTTTTGAGATTTGGATGGCTAACTAAATGGGATACGTCGAGGATTTAAGAAGTTCAATTGTGCGTTAAATGCGAGGTTTAATGTTCAAGAAATTAAGCGGAAGTAGAGAGAGTTAAAAAGAAAAGTGTTGTGATTGGTTAGTCTTAAGAAATGTAAGTAAATATATTTACAGGTGGCGATCACTTTAGATGTTACCGCTAAAAAATGTTATGCAGATCATCTAAAGAGATCACGGTGTCCCTGAATAACTTTTAATTGAAAGGTTCAGACGTATCCGACAAGACAATTTTTTTCAGGATAAACTAAATTCGCTTGGCACTTTTTTAGAAAAATCAATTTTTATAAAAACAATAATGATTTTTAATCAATTTTTTTAGATTTTTAATTAGTGAACTCCAAATAATAACTAACAGCTTTTAATGTATTTGTTACATAAAATGTGCAATTCATTAGACTAGTGAACTATTTACATATGTCACTTATCACATGTCACATATCGAAATCGTGATTGAAAATTTGTCGCAGATTTATTTATAAATTAGATATAAATAATTATATTTGCATTGATTATAGTTTATAGTGCAATGAAGCTAATAAAAAACCATGCATGGACTCACTCGGATAATCGAGAGAATTTGTTTATTTTGTCTTAAAAAAAAAAAAATTAAATATGTGGAAAGATTCTGGAAAAAGTTGTATAAGTATATGATGTAGAAGATGAACGATTACCAAAAGTTGTATGCAAAGGTTGTGAAATTTTATTATATAAAGCAGCTAAACAAGAAATTTATAGAAACACGTTAAATTTGCCTGATTATTCTAATTGGAAATAATTTTATAAAAAGTGCTAAAAATAAACCCATTAAAAAAGAAAAAAAGCGAGTGGTGAGAAAATGTTTCAAATGTTTGTCAAGTATTGTTGGTGGCCGCGGTAAAAACATAAATGTAAACCTGGAGTAAAAGAAGAAAATATTGAAAACGATATTAGTGAAACTTTCTTTTTCTTTTTTTAAAAGAGCGATAGTAACTGCTGCTGATGTTTCGGACTTAAAGCTATGCTTTGAACTTTTTCCAGAATCTTTCCACATATTTTAGACATTTCTTTTTTTTTAAGACAAAACAAACAAATTCTCTCGCGATTATCCGAGTGAGTCCATGCATGGTTTTTTTATTAGCCTTATTGCACTATATACTACAATCAATGCAAATATAATTATTTATCTAATTTATAAATAAATCTGCGACAAATTGAAAAAAAAACGGTATTTTCAATCACGATTTCGATATGTGACATGTGATAAGTGACATATGTCAATAGTTCACTAGTCTAATGAATTGCACATTTTATGTAACAAATACATTAAAAGCTGTTAGTCATTATTTGGAGTTCACTAATTAAAATTCTCAAAAAATTGATTAAAAATCATTAATGTTTTTATAAAAATTGATTTTTCTAAAAAAGTGCCAAGCGAATTGAGTTTATCCTGAAATAAAAATGGTCTTGTAAGTGATTTTTTATCAAAATATGAAAAATAATCGGATACGTCTGAACCTTTCAATTAAAAGTTATTCAGGGACGCCGTGAGATTTAATTAACAAACATAAAAAATGGTATGCATACCATCCGGGGACGTCTTCTGGGTCTTCGCAGTTACCGGTACCGTCAGCATCGCCGATTTTGAATACAGTTCCAATGGGGCAGCCGTATTCTCTGGCCGTTCCTTCCAAACAGATGTAGTATTTACGGCAGTCTTCCGGATGAGCGTGTCTGGAGAAGGAGCCAGAGTTGGCAACCTCGCCAGCGGCTGGGCAAGAGAATCCCCCTGCGACTTCTAAAGTGAGCTCGGTTAATACAAAATTAGTGCCCTTTACCAGGATTAAACACATTGAAATGGCTTAAACTGGAACCTGACTCGAATAAAACACATAAAGCGTTCTACACTATAAATGATCATTTGGAATGGAAAAGTTTAATACACTCACAGGCAAAATAATCGATCCACACAAATTTTAGATGAATTTCAATTGCAAATAACTTGATGTCAAATTTGATGTCGGATTTAAACAAATATTGAAGAATATTGTAGATACATTAATGGAGAATCGCTCACATTTTAAAAATTACTAAAAAATACACGTACGTTTATAATATACAGGTTTAAACAAAAAGATGTTTTTTACCCTAAGTTTAAGACACTCTGTAGAGTGGCAAAACCGTATATTGTTCTAAATTAAGCTTTAATTATCAAGTCACATCTATTCTTAACAGTTTTGTTTTTGGTTCACCTTGATATATTTATTTTTGTGGAAAATATGGATTTTTTTAAAAAACATTGCAATTTCCAATATATTTCCTGTATGAAGAACTAAGGTTTCTATGGTCCATCCATAGCCTATGGAGGATGACAGTGACAGTTTTGTTGAATCATCCCATACTTGGACATGTCATATACAGCTTTCAAAAGCTATCAAATTGTTTTTTGTAAATTAATGTGTTAATTTTGAGGTGTCTTCTTACTTTTAAAAATGTCTCCGACTGATGTTGCCCTTTGTACTTTACTTCTTGTGATGTTTAAAACACTTGCCAAGTAATACTGTGACCGTCCATCCTGGATTAAATTAATGGCTCTGGCAACATCAGTCGGAGACATATCCATTTTTTGAAGTAAGAAGCCACCTCAAAATTTAAACATTAATTTGCAAAAAACAATTTGTTAGCTTTTGAAAGCCGTGTATGACATGTCCAAGTATGGGATGATTCAACAAAACTGTCACTGTCATCCTCCTTAGGCTATGGATGGACCATAGCAATCTTAGTTCTTCATACAGAAAAATATTGGAAATTGCAATGTTGTTTTAAAAAATCCATATTTTCCACAAAAATAAATGTATCGAGCTGAACCAAAAACAAAATTGTTAAGAATAGATGTGACTTGATAAATAAAACTTAATTTAGAACAATATACGGTTTTGCTACTCTACAGAGTGTTTTAAACTTATGGTAAAAAACATGTTTTTGTTTAAACCTGTATATTATAAACGTACGTCTATTTTTTAGTAATTTTTAAAAATGTGAGAGATTGTCCATTAATTTATCTACAATATTCTATAATATTCGTTTAAATACGACATCAAATAAAAAAGTTATTTGCGATTGAAATTCATCGTGTGGATCGATTATTTTGCCTGTGAGTGTATTAAATAAGTGATATTTATTTAATAACTATTCACCATTATGTTATTATTATTGTTATTATTTTAATATGAGATATGAAGTTAAAACATATACAGTTACCGGCAACAAAATGGAACAAATTCATTAAAATACAGACAAAAGAGAGTTATGCAAAAATTCCAAATACCCAGTGAGGATTTTCTTTGTACCAGTACCAGATGAGTGTTTTTGAAAAAAATGAGGGAATTTTGGAAGCCGCGAGAGAAGCGACTCAAAATCTGCTTCCATCTAAGTCAAAAGAAAAATATGATAAAACTTTTGAACAATTCTGTCAATGGAAAAACAATCAGGGGGTACAAGGTGTCAGTGAAAATGCTAATGGTTTTAAAAAATAAATTTTCTAATTTTTTGTTGTATTTTAGGTCCAAAAATCTGAAGGCATCGTCACTGTGGTCAACATATTCGATGCTGAAGAGTACGTTGCAAATATATGAAGGCAGTGACATTTTAAAATACAAGCAATTAATTGCATTTTTGAAAAAACAGAATGAAGGATATGATTCATATCATATGAACCTAAAAAGTCAGAAGTCAATTGAACAAATTTTGAAGTTTCTAAATGACGCTTCTAATGAATCGTATCTATCTATGAAATTGGCATTAATTTTTGCTTTAAATGGAGCAATGCTAGGGGAAGAATTACGAACACTAACAATAAACGATGTAGAAGATAATGAATAAGTTATTATCGTAACACTACGTAATACAAAAACGAAAAAGAAGCGAGTTTTTACCATAACTTCGGAAGCGAACGGAATTGAGTTGCATCGGAAGTATCGTAAATTAAGGCCACAAAACACGATTATTCCAGATTTTTCGTTTGTTACCTGAATGGTAAATGCACTGTGCACCCGGTGGGGATCAACACATTTTATAGTTTGCCGAGAAAAATTGCTGAATATTTGAAGCTTCCTGATTCCAATAGCTACACAGGGCATTGTATGCGAAGGAGTGCAGCTACCATGTCGGTTGATAATGGGGGCAGTATCCCTGATTTGAAAAGACTGGGGGGATGGTCTTCAACATCTTCTGCTGAGGGTTATTTAGGAGAAAGCATTCAAAATAAAATTCAAACATCGAAGAAAATTTTTAGAGGCTCCAGTAAAATAAACATTTCTTTGTTGTTCTAGCTAATCAAATGGCTGTTTTCCATTAAGGATACAAAAATATATTAAGAAAGTTTATGAACATTTCTTCTATAGACACTTGGTTGCCGGTGACTGTATAGTATCAATAAAACTTGATGAAACCGCTGATAATAAAAACTACTGTTTGGTTATTTCTTCACCAACTAGTTTGTATAAATGGTTTTGAGTGAACATTATGCAATTCTGTTAATTTCTTTATGTGACAAACCATAAACTTTTAGTACTTATACCCATCTATAATTTACTTAAGACCCTGGATGTTTTAGTGGTTGTTATACTGACCTTCGTTTTTGCATTCTGGCACTTGATCGGCCCACATACACACTCTGGCTTCTCTGTCGTAAGCTAGACCGGGTGAACATTGGTATCTGGAAGCTTCTCCGTTCCAGCAGTTCCAGAAAACGTCGCATTTTGCTTCATCGGCGAAGATACCGTATAAACGTTCGCAATGCGCTGTACCTACAGCTGGTTCTAAAAAGGATTGATTACATTATTCTTGAAGCTTATTGTAGTCTAGACTTAGAATATTAAAACTAGTCCCAAGTACACAGAAAAAACGCTATCATAGTATGAACGGGTGAGCCAATAAACCAATGGGATCTTGTAATCCGTATTCCTGAATAACAGTTCCTATAATACCAATAGGTAGTTAGCACTTGGTTTATAATGGTTTACTGTTTTTAAATTAACAACAAAAGTTATCGCTCCTAAATCTATTGATATTCATATTGATATTTATTTGTTAGAATGGTAGAATGTTATTGCATTAAATACTAATTTGATTTATTTAATAACGTTACTATTGTATGTATACTATGTATACATTTAACGCAATAAATTCTTTGACATTTAGGCAAAATATTTCCCTATTTTGGTTTAATAGTAATTAATTGAGCAAATAATAATTTAGATTGCTTCAATTTTAATGGATTCAATGACAGCGCTGTTCTTGGTACTATGATAGATTTTTTTCTGTGTAGCCTACAGGATTTATGAGCGACTTTAAAGTAAAGTATTAAAGCCGTTTTGCAATTATAACAGTTTCATCTTAACATTGATTTATTAATATTAACCCATAATGCTTTTTAAGGGCAACTTGCCCCTAAGAAACGCCTATAGTCCAATAAGCTTTATGAAGGTTTATCAGATGCCTATTGGTTTTAATGGTGCTCGTAAAGTTGGCTTTAATGCATCTGTTAAAGCCGACTCATAGGAGCATTTGGTCCTATAGGACTACTTTTCCTCTATGTAAGAATGTTACAGAACCAAACAGTAAAAAGGTTTTATGATTGTTTCTAGTAGAGCAGCAATAGGTACGTCTTTAATATAACCAATTTGCTTTCCAATTTGCAAATTTGCATGAGTAAACCATTTTGTTGCTATTATTTCTTTATTAAAACGTTTTTGTCTTGATAAACGCGAAGAAAATAACTCTTGTCAACATGTTGCCGCCATGCATGAGGAGTTTTTTAGAGCAGTGGTTAAAAGTTAAAAAAAAGTGGAAATTTTTATAGAAAAACAAAGTTGGCTCCTGTAAGAGCTGTTAAAAGTTGTTCTTCTGTGATATTGGCAAAACATCCGGTTGATAATACTCATTGTATTCCTTCAACGTCCTGTTCCAACCAAGAGCTAAATCCGCATCATTCTATCACAGCAATTAAGACAATTTTTAGGTGTTATCATCTGACAAAGCATTATAGCCCTGATGGCGATACTTTTGATGAAAATATTTCAAAGTTGTTTTAAAATGCTCGCACAAAATTCCAATTGGTTATATAATTGCCTTGAAAAATGCAGTCATAGGGCTTATTAGTTTTAACAAATAGTTGTAAACACTTTTTAAAGCAATCAAACTTTTTAGCAGTTGTTTGCAAGAGTACATTGTTTTATAACTGAAACCGCCATTTAAATTGGAAAATATTGCTCCGCCATGATGAAATACTTTTAATATAAAATACGAATAGATAATATTTTTCAGAAAATTTCAAAATTTTTGTTTTTACTAGCATGTTAATGCTGGAGAATATTTTTTCGATAAGATGGCTTAAAAAACGGAATGTAGATCAGGTAAGTAATTTAGCCAAAGCCTTTAAAATTGTTTAAATTAAGCGCATTTCAGTGGGCATCATACGTTTTGTGTCTCGGCAATCAACTTTTATCATTAAAGTGATTTTTGCATCCGAAAGTTATTGGTTGACAAAAAATAATAATTATCTTATTAATTTTTTAAAATCAATAATGGCCTATGCTTGTGTTTTATAAGGCAGCAATATACCAAACAAGTATTTGATTAAAGCAATATGGAATTTACAAAGTACAACAGTAAAGTAAAAAGGTATATCAATAAGTACAAATTGTCAGCTAAAATGTGTTTACGACAAAAGCACACTACCTCCTTAAAACCTATTGCACTTTTGCAGGTTTTATGACAGCTGTAAAGTAGGTTTTATGGCTGCTGTAAGGTGTGCCTTAGGATTAATACAATAAAGCAAAGTTGTGTGGCTGACACAAGGACAGCGATAGGATTCTCCTTTTTAGCCCTATGATGGTTTTATCGAAGCTGTATAGCTGCAGTTAAAGCAAATAGGTTTTAACTAAGCAATGCAAATTACCCTTAAGAGAAGTTTTATGGAGCCCTTGTATACCTTAAAAAAACCTATTTTGCTACTTTCAAACTATCTGCGTTGAGTGAAGAAGTAGTATCAATGCTAGTAGTATCAATCAATGCTATCTGTTTTACAATGTTTTAAGGCTGCGCGCAGCTGCGTTTACATACCCAATTGCGTTCTGTCATTACATTCGACGTTGTGGATGTAATCACAGTTTTCAGTGAGGAATTTTGGATCGCTAGCATCGAAAGCCAAACCGTTGCCACAGGTTTTAAGTTCTGCCACATTGTTGTCACATTTCCAGTATTTGTCACAGGAGATGTGATGTGGGTAGAAACCGAAGTCATCGGGGCATTTGAAGTTTTCCTGTCCATAGGCTGAAAAAAACAATTTTATATTTTCTATTATTTGTTGAAAACAGTAAGATTTTATATTTAACCATTTGAACAATATTGTCAAGAAATCTGTTGTTAAAAATATTTCAAAAATAAATCATTCGTATAAATATAGTATAACTTTAAGTTAGAATATAAATTTTACAATATTGGACAATTTCTTCGGAAGTGAAGCATCACACCACCTCAGATAACCAATGAAATGATTTCCCGCTTGAAATAAGACGCCGGCCGGTCGCTCAACTGCAATCTGCATCATCAGTTTGCAGTTTTAGTTAGTGTTAGAAAGTGTATCATTGTGAGGTTAGTACCACATTTCTGGTGAGTAATTATTGAATATTATTTTTCCGAATAGGTAGGTAGGTATTTGCAAAATTGTTCAGGGACTGGGATAAATCAACAATTATGGCCTGGTGATCAAATGAGGATAAAAAGTGTTTCTGTGTTCCTACTGTGCTACATTATTGATCAGCTTACTATTTACTTTAGTTTGTAATTTATGTTTATTTTATGTTGTCAGTTTATATTAACAACATTTATGTGTTGGTCGCTGAATACATATTTAATCTATCGACATTTGCACTATTATAGGTGGAGACGCACTTCATGTTGAATTATATCTCAATATTATTAGAATTAGCTATACGAATTTTATTTTTCAGTTTGTAGTTTATGTTTTGTTATGTTTATTTTATGTTGTCAGTGTCAGTTTATATTAGGTTTAGGTATTCTATTTTCCATATTTTAAGTCGCTGAATACATAGGTATCTAAATTCATAATTTAGTTTCATTTTTCTTTTTACCACTCTCGCATCCCAAAAATTATTAAAAATTTTAAATAATCTGGAGAAATTATTATTAAACAATGTTGTGTTATTACGAGGTGTGTTCAGAAAATAACAGGAATTGTTAATTTCGCGGCTTCGGAGGGTCCGGTTGTCATAAAATTTTATTTTTTTATTGGTATACATACCCCCGAAGTATGATAAAATCTTTAGCTGTTTTTATTGTTTACTTTGTCTGTGGTAGCCTCTAAGGTTAGACGTGTTTTATGAGCTCGGTGATTTTCGTTCGTTAAAAGAAATGGATCAAAGATAATTTGTATCCAATTTTGCTTAAAAAATGAAATAAATTCTGTGAAATGTTAACAAAGGCCTATAGTGAGTCTGCTATAAGTAAAACAAGAGTTTACAAGTGGTATAAGAGTTTCCAAGATGGCCGTGAAAACGTTGAAGATGACGAACGCCCCGAACGCACAAGCACATTAACAACCGATAAAAACATGGAAAAAGTGGAAGAAATGGTTATAAACCATCAGAGAAGTCGCTGATGATGTTGGTATATCGATTGGCTCATCCCATGAAATTTTTTCGAATGTTTTGGGTATGAAACGCGTGACAGCAAAATTTGTTCAAAAATTGTTAAATTTTGAACAAAATTTTTGGCCAAAAACAATACTGTAATGATGCCCCAGCCTCCATATTCGCCAGACATGCCTCTGTCTGACTTTTTCCAATCCCAAAAATAAAGAGAACCTTAAAGGGCCGTCGTTTTGCAAGCATAGATGACATTAAAAGCGAATCGCTGAAAGAACTAAAGCCTATCCCAAAGATCGAGTTTTAGAAGTGTTTCGAGTATTGGAAGAAGAGCTGGCACATGTGCATAATATCCAATGGGGACTATTTTGAAGGCGACAACATTAATGTAGACGAATAAATAAATATTTGTTTCAAAAAACGAAAATTCCTGTATTTCTGAACACACCTCGTATTCAGTAATTCGTAAGAGTTTCTAAAACCACTTTTGGCGTATAAGCAAGCGGCACTGTATGACATTTATTTGAACCGTCGATGAGTGGTTATGAAATATCATCGAAGGCTGCAATAAAAATGGAAAGTGGAATCTTTCCGACCCGATTCGGTGGAGTAAAGTAATCTGGTCAAACTGTTGCAACACCACAAAAACCGTCGGTCAGTTTTTTATGAATATGTTTTGTACCTTAGTATTCACCGATAAAAGTGAGTTTGAAAAGCGAAGTGCCCTGAATTGAGGTCTTTCACCTGTTTGAAGCATGCAAATACTTTTATCACCACGCCTAAAAAGTCCAACTGAAAAATTTAATTTATGGAAACAAAAAGCAAGAGTAAATCTTTTAGGAAAAACTCAATTAGATTACAAAATATTAAACATTTTTACTAAATGGTTCAAAAACCAAAATATGTTGAAAAAAATTATCATAATGTAAAAAAATATCTTTTAAGGGTAAAACTTCATTTCGATGAAGTTATGCCAAATGCCTCAATGGCAGAAAAAGTACATCGCCTTATGGACATTTTTGGAGTGAAAAAGTAGTTTTTGGTTTTACAAATATTAAATCACACATTATGTTTTTTCAGCTAAGCAGATCAAAAATTTTTAAAATTTAAATAAATAAGGGTGAAATAAAAAAACAAAAAATAAAAATTATTTGCTGTTAGGTTCAACCTTTTTGTGAAAAATCAAGAAGTTAATTTTCCTGTCTTTGAAAATAGCATCCATTTGGTTTGAAAAAGATAAGCAACAATCACGAAACTTTTTCTTCTTCCAATTTGCAAGTTACTGAAGAATTTGTATCCAATTTTCCTTAAAAATGAAATAAATTCTGTGAAATGTTAACAAAGGCCTATAGTGAGTCTGCTATAAGTAAAACAAGAGCTTACAAGTGGTATAAGAGTTTCCAAGATGGCCGTGAAGACGTTGAAGATGACTCTGTCTGAATTTTTCCTATTCCCAAAAATAAAGAGAACCTTTTGCAAGCATAGCTGACATTAAAAGCGCATCCCTGAAAGAACTAAAGGCTATTCCAAAGATCGAGTTTTAGAAGTTTTTCGAGTATTCGAAGAAGAGCTGGCACATGTGCATAATATCCATTGGGGACTATTTTGAAGGCGACAACATTAATGTAGACGAATAAATAAAAATTTGTTTCAAAAAACGAAAATTCCCGATATTTTCTGAACACACCTCGTACGCCCAACCAAAGCCCAAATAATTGCATTTTTAACTACGAATTTTGACAACTCAACTTGACAACCGCCATCTCTATTGATGTTACCATTGTTTGGTTTTTGGAGTATTTAGTAAAGTTTTTAATATTTTTAATCAATTTGTTTTATTTTTTTGTTGTTAATTTTTGAAAACTGTCAACTTTTACATTATCCCCATATCCCCATAAGAGTTAACTCTTTCTATCCAAACCATAAAAATGTAATAATAAATAAAAACAAATTGATAAAAAAATGTCCAACCCAAAAAAATTTAAAAAATTAAATTTTTTAAATAACAAAAAAAATTGTATGAAATTTGAAAAAAAAATTATAAAACTAATTGATTGAAAATTACTAAAAACTCCAAAAACCAAAATATACTTAAAAAATCCGAATAAGGGTTCGCCTTTTTTTTTCTAAACCAAGAAAATGTAAAAAATGTCATTTTTTAATAAAAAAAAATTGTAAAAAAATTAATAATAAATAAATAAATAAAACAAATTGATTAGCAAATTCCACCTATTTTTTATTCCGATTAAAATGGTAAAAACAGAAAAACAATTGAACGTCGGGTTTTCGAAATATTTACAAACATATTTTTTTTAAATAGAACACCCTGTAGATATGATTTTAAAAGACAATTTAATTTGGAACAAAAATCTAAAAGAGTTTGACCTACACTTTTATTGTGTTTTTCATCTTTTATAATTAAGTAGATATTACAGCTCAGGTTACAGATTTTTAACCTCAATTAATTATTTTTTACAATGTTTTAAAAGTCTAAAACCTATCCTCCGTGACTGTTACTCTTTCTAGGTTAACCTATATGTTTTCAAATATCTGAGGTAGTAAAAACATACTAAAAATATCGGTTCACTAAGTAAATTAAACACATCCAAAGCAATCGAATCAAATATAAAATATTATTAAAAATTAAAAGAAATAATTTTTATAACCATTTATGGTGATGGTGATTTTAAATAAGCAAAAACCTCTGTTTAGATGCATGTGATTCCTGCGCAGATGAGAGTGTTGCTGTTTTATAATTCAAAATTTTAAGTTCATTCCTTTGCTATTTAAAAACCTATCCACCGTGAAGTGTAATATCTCAGTGAGTAGATTTTTTTATAAATATTTTATGTATGTACCTACAATTGTATTTTTAAAAAATATTAAGGTGTCAAAAGATACAATAACTTATATCAAATATACAAAGGGATGTTTAAAAAAAAACATACGAAATCCTAACTTCCGTAAAGCTATCTTCCGTGAAGCTCTAATATTCAAAATGTATGATTTCTTTAAATTCTTGCTTTAGTGCAGAACCACTTATGTTATGTTATTACTAGACCTTGCTTCTCAAAAACCCCATTCTAGACTAACAGTGAAACAACCAAAAATAAAAACATCTCAATATATTCACCCATATTTTTTGTGATTATTTCGTGAACAAATTGTTTTTCTGTTTTCACCATTTACTTAAATCAGAAGAAAAAATGTCACAAATTTACCTATAATAATGCAGGAATTTAACCAGGACTTTATTAATAGAATGCATAATAAATACAATTAGTGTGTGTATTATGGAACATTTACTGGTCAATTTATTTCCTGCTCGATACGTTGTATACCGGTTTAAAATACTGTAAGTGTGTAGTGTTATATCACAAGAATTTATAAGGAGACCAACGCCTAGTCGCAAGTGTTCACTAGGTCACGAATGCTTGTTCCATAGAGGAATTTATCATTTTAAAAAAGAAAAAAAAATAAACAAAACATTTTTAATTAATTGGATTAAGGATTAAGAATTTACCAAATCAGTTAATTGGTTTGTTATTTCTTGTACCGATGCACTTTCTAAGATTTTTTCTCTAATTAAATTTAGATGAAGGTCAGAATATTATTAACTAATAAAAAATGGAACTGTTACTAATTGGAAATACTTGCAAATAACAAGAAGAAATTGATCTCAATGTTAATAATAAACACTTCTAATGTAGAAAGTGTTTTGAAGTACTGTAGATAGAACTGGATTACATAAGGAATTTCGTTTATTTATTTATGAATATTTCGGTATTTTCTTATGAATATTGCGTAATGATTACGATGAAAAAAAATGAATTTAATTAATATTATAAATTTACCACAATCGCAACAAGTCAAAATATTGAAAATTACATCACAAGCAGCTTTCACAATTTCAGGCGAAAAAGGCCACATTAAGAAAAACAGGAACTGACCGGGGTGATATAATAATACTTTAGGTAATTAATAATATATCTGCCTACAGCGTGATTGCCCCACTTATAAAGGGCTTTCACATTTTTGAAATGTCAACAGCTAGCTGCATTAAATGCATCATTTAACAAAACAATTCGTTGTTATGTGTCACAATAAGCAAGTTGTGAAGCAATTATGTTTCTGAGATCTTGATTACCAAAGTCTGCATAATTGGGATCATGTAAAATATCAGATATAATGTTGCCATTTGGGGGTCATAATAAACATCCTGTTTTGCCCAAATTTTAACTCCCTATCTTCCAAGGTTTTTGAGATAATACCAAATATCTAGATGCCTCACCAAAATGATATAAAAATGATAATTTTGATATTTGTTGGTGCTGAATTTAATTGAATTGAATTGTAAAATCAAAAAAATCGAGAGAAAGTTTATCAATTAAACTTGCAAACTCAGTCAAGCTGCAAAATATAATTGGTAAGGTTGCACGCCACTTTTTTATTTTAATAAAATTCCACGGGAAAATTCAAGGTTGACAAGCAATTTTTTACCACAGTAAAGTTTAGTTTCCTGAATCATGAAAGGTCATTATCATGTTTCTCCAACATTCTTGAACTTTTGCATTAGCAAAGAAGCACTTAAATCATAAAAAACCTCTGTAAAGAAAGTCAAAGTAACTGAAATTGCTTTTATATGTAGCATATGTTCTTATGTTTGTTTTTAAGAAAGTGCAGAATAAGATTCGTGTCACAATTGTTGCAAAGGAATTTTGCATTTCACATTAGCAAGCTATAAAAGCCAGGCGATTGAAAGTTTGATTTCAGAATAAAAGCATTTTTTGTGTGGTTGAAATTGGGATTTTTTGATTTTTGGAAATTGATGTGGTTTTTGGATACTTTTATGCTTACATCTTTCGCCAGTTTTACAGAGTTAGAAGTGTAATCAGATTTTTAAAATTTTTGTATTATGTGAAATATTAAATATTTTTTAAATTTTGACAATGGTTTTAGAAAAAGGAAATTTATTTTTTATCAAGATATCAATTTTTGCACTAAAATGTCACTAATCCATAAAAATAAGTTTTTTTATAAATTAAAAAGATGAGATGCCACTATAATCTAGTACCTAATACATGTATTTGGTTATAGTCCTTAAAGTAAAAATCACTGTGATCACTCTAAGTGAGCTAGGGTTAAGCACTGTCCTAAATCATCATCACAATAAGTAAATCCGTTGTTTGTAAATTAGAGCACTAGTGTGTAGTGTACGTACCAGAGTAGGTGAGTGCACTAAGCACCAATAAACACGCGAAGGTCTTCATTCTGTCAAACACTGAGCACGAGTAGAGTAACTGGCGGGTCCGAGAGTGGTCCTTCGCTTTATACCTGGCCGGTTGCTGACAGCCCCTCCTCCAGTGTTGCCACTAACTCTTTCCTGGACTATTGGCTGTCGTCTGATGCTGCTGCTGCCTTCAAAATTATAAATGTACCCTAGACTAGGCCAAAAAAATCAACTATTTTTTTTTTGAAAAGTATATCGAAAATATGGTTTGAGGCGACAAAAAAAATTATTGTGAAAGTTTGAGTCCATAATATTAATATTAAGAAGTCTATCATCGCAATTTTAATTTTTTTTTCCCTCATCAAGTTTTTGTCTCAGAACTCCCAAACCATTGAGTTTAACAAAATTTACTTAAAAATATTTTTTTAAGAAAATTAAATTCTCTCTAAAAAAGGTTAAATAAAATTTTTCGTCAGATGAACCGTTTCCTTAAAATCATGCCCTAAACATTGGTATAGTTTTACATTTTGATCTTTTAACTTTGGAATTTTAAAATTCATGTAAAAATCAGTACCCATAAAAAAACCGATAAATATTCTTATGTGAATCAAATGCTTTACAAAAAAAGCCTTTTAACATTTTTGGCTAAATTCACTCAATCAAAAGTTATTCAATAGTCAAAACGTAATTCTTGTCAAATTTAACCTTGAAAACTTTTGATTTTGCCGGCAATTCTTGAGTACTTCTTCTAGCAATCCATTTCTCAGGAACCTGGTTCAACCATACGGAAAGGAATAGTTTTAAATTAAGTCCTACAATTTTGTTGTGAAAAAAATGTGGTAATATTGCACCCAAACATGAAAAGAACTTATGACACTGTCTCTTCACTTGCTACACTTGTTTATGATTTATAAAATTTGCGTTAAAAATAATGCGTATAAATAAAATATGTAAAAATTTACTTCCTAGTGTTTATAACATAAATGATATATGGTTACTTGATACAAAAATTATAATAATTAAAATCTTAAAATTTCAAAACATTAACGTGCTAAAAGTTCCTACACAAATAATAATGTTAAATAATGATTTTTTTGTACATCGTAGTATACCTACATAATATTATAGTTAATGTTACGAGAAAATTATGTTAATTTCAATATAATACACTTGGTGTACCTGAACAAAGTTTAAGTCACATAAAAATGCCGCCAAAAACTGATTGCAGTTTCTTGTTCGGGACCCTTTGGTGACTTAAACATTATATTTACCAAAATCCTAGCTGCTCCTCTTTTATAAATTTTTTGAAAAGTCATAATTTTTTTTTAATTTTTTGCTTTTCTTATAATATTGGAGTATATTGTTAAGGAGATTTGGAGAATACTTTTTTATACTGTGCACATCATTTAATATATACAGGGTTAGCCAAAAATCGCTTCTTTTAATAAATCAAAAGCGTAAACTCATGATTTTGGCATAACCTATGTTTTTTTAGATATTTTGATGTTTATCAGGCTACAAAATGGGATTCTTATTAAGACTTTATAAGAAAAATTGATTTTGAATAAAATTAAATAAAATAACATTTTTTGGAGATATATCTTTTTTTTGCATTATGCTTTTTACTATATAAAAAAGTGATTTTTGGCTAACCCTGTATAAATCTAATGATGTGCTCACTAAGCACTGCTCAGTATGAAAACAGTATTCTCCAAGTCTCGTTAACAATATTGTAAAAATCAGTGTACAAATGTGTACTCTGTCAAAGGTAAGAGAAACAAAAATTTAAAAAAAAAATAAGAAATTTCAAAAAATTTCGAAAAGAGGAGCAGCTAGTATTTTGGTAAATATGATTTTAAAGTTACCAAAGGGTCCCGAACAAGAAACTGCACTCAATAAAAATCGGTGTACAAATGTGTACTCTGGCAAAGGTAGACTTTGCGATAAACAAATAATTAAAAAAAAAAATGATTTTTTAACAAATTTGAAAAAGAAGCAGTTAAAATTTTGGTAAATATCGTTTTTAAATCTCCAAAGAGTGCCGATCAAAAAACTTTGATCAGTTTTTCGTTTAAAATTGAAAACTACTAAAAAGCCTAAATTAAACAACATTTTAAATATTCTGTAAGCGTTATTTTATTTAATTTTATTAAAAATCTATTTTTTTAATAAAAGGTTAATAAGAATGCCATTTTGTAACCTGATAAACGTAGAAATATCTAAAAAAAATGGGGATAAATTTTTGTTGCGTGTTATGCCAAAATCATGCTTTTGCTTTATTAAAAATAAGCGATTTTTGGCCCACCCTGTATATATCAAATGATGTGAACAGTATTAAAGAGTATTCTTTAAGTCTCCTCAATAATATACTCTAATTTTATAAAAATAGGTGTACAAATCGTCGTTTATCTGACAAAGAGGCGTAACTCAAAAAAAATCGTTTTTAAGTTATACCAGAATGATCACCAAAATCGACTTTATAATCTCACAAACTGGCGTAGCTCTATAATAAATAGGTACAAATAAAGTTTTAGCATAAATCAGTTTCGGCGTAACTAATATTTTTGCATTTTGTGTGCCGTACAAACTGGCGTAATTCAATTCACACCGTTTTGTTTAAAAATGAGATACGCCTCTTTGTCAGATAAACGACGAAATGTGTACTCTGTCAAAGGTAGACGTTGAAATATACAAATATTTAAAAAAAATCATGAATTTTCAAAAAATTTCGAAAAAAGGAGCAGCTGGGATTTTGGTAAATATAATTTTTAAGTCACCAAAGGGTCCCGAACAAGAAACTGCAATCAGTTTTTGGCGGCATTTTTATGTGACTTAAACTTCGTTCAGGCACACCGTGTTTAAATAGTTTTGTTAAGGTAGTCTGGCCTTCTCAAAACTGTAACCTATGAAAACAAATTCTAAAAAATGCAAATTTCAAAGGTTTTTTAATGTTCATAATAATTATTGTTCATCATTCACGGAAATCAATGACTTAATGAACCACTTTTAATGAAATTTCTAAAGTTATACAAGTAAAAATAAAATACAAGTACATTAACTTAATTATATTAAAATGCATATACTTTGTTTTATTTCGTTTAATTTGTCTTGTAATGTAGCACACAATTTGTAATACAGTTTAATATATGTACATTATGTTCGAGGTGTGTTCAGTAAATAACGGGAATTGTTAAATTTCGCGGGTTCGGAGGGTCCGGTTGTCATAAAAAAAATTTTTATTATGTTGGTATACATGCCCCCGAAGTATGATAAAAACTTTAGCTGTTTATATTGTTTACTTTGTCTGTGGCAGCCGCTAAGGTTAGACGTGTTTTATGAGCTCGGCGATTATCCGTTCGTTAAAAGAAATGGATCAAAGAATTTGTATCCAATTTTGCTTAAAAAATAAATAAATTCTGTGAAATGTTAACAAAGGCCTATAGTGAGTCTGCTATAAGTAAAACAAGAGTTTACAAGTGGTATAAGAGTTTCCAAGATGGCCGTAAAGACGTTGAAGATGACGAACGCCCCAAACGCACAAGCACATTAACAACCTATAAAAACATGGAAAAAGTGGAAGAAATGGTTATAAACCATCAGAGAAGTCGCTGATGATAGTGGTATATCGATTGGCTTATCCCATGAAAGTTTTGGGTATGAAACGCGTGGCAGCAAAATTTGTTCTAAAATTGTTAAATTTTGAACAAAATTTTTGGCCAAAAACAATACTGTAATGATGCCCCAGCCTCCATATTCGCCAGACATGCTTCTGTCTGACTTTTTCCTATTCCCAAAAATAAAGAGAACCTTAAAGGGCCGTCGTTTTGCAAGCATAGATGACATTAAAAGCGCATCGCTGAAAGAACTAAAGGCTATCCCAAAGATCGAGTTTTAGAAGTGTTTCGAGTATTGGAAGAAGAGCTGGCACATGTGCATAATATCCAATGGGGACTATTTTGAAGGCCGACAACATTAATGTACACGAATAAATAAATATTTGTTTCAAAAAACGAAAATTCCCGATATTTTCTGAACACACCTCGTATATCAATATTATATAATTATTAACAAGTAAATTATCAATAATAAATATTACTGCTAATTTGACAGTGTCAGAGTATTTAATTAAGGTCTTCAGCAGAAGTACCATTTTTTAAATACTAAAAATACTAAATCAAACTGGCATACATAAGCTACAAACTTAATAAAAAAACACTCCAAATAAAAAAAATTAACTGTATGTATTTAGTATAGATGTAGGTGAAAATTAAAAGAGCATGCTAATTCAGAGAAAGTAAATGTATTTAAATTTATAAAGTATATCAAGTGTAAATAATCAGAAAATTAGATATTTCCATTGTAATATATGTTAACTGTGAATAATGTTATTAATGCAAGCCTCTAAGGCTTAGAGTCTAAGCCAACAAAAATCTCCCTAAAAGGTAACAAAAAAGGTGTTTTTTATTTTTTAATAGTTCTTATTAACCACTCTGCATATAATTTATTATTGTTTATATTCGTAGATGTAAAAAGTAAATCTACGAAATGTGTTCAGAAAATATCGGGATTTTTTGTTTTTTGAAACAAATATTTATTTATTCGTCTACATTAATGTTGTCGTCTTCAAAATAGTCCCCATTGGATATTATGCACATGTGCCAGCTCTTCTTCCAATACTCGAAACACTTTTAAAACACGATCTTTGGGATAGCCTTTAGTTCTTTCAGCGATGCGCTTTTAATGTCATCTATGCTTGCAAAACGACGGCCCCTTAAGGTTCTCTTTATTTTTGGGAATAGGAAAAAGTCAGACAGAGGCATATCTGGCGAATATGGAAGCTAGGGCATCATTACAGTATTGTTTTTGGCCAAAAATTTTGTTCAAAATTTAACAACATTCGAAAAAATTTCATGGGATGAGCCAATCGATATACCAACATCATCAGCGACTTCACTGATTCTTCATTTCTTCCACTTTTTCGATGTTTTTATCGGTTGTTAATGTGCTTGTGCGTTCGGGGCGTTCGTCATCTTCAACGTCTTCACGGCCATCTTGAAAACTCTTATACCACTTGTAAACTCTTGTTTTACTTATAGCAGACTCACTATATA